TGTTTGAAAAAAACCGTGCATAATTGAACAAAATGGTCTAGAATTTACACTGTTCGAACAACAGAAAAAACCCAGTGTAATTTGGTTCAAACAATGCAATTTTTTATTCGAGTGAGCGGAAAAGTCAGTGCAGAAGATGCAGTTTGGTTCGAGCAGAGAAAAAAAAGGGAATGTTTCGAAAAATAAAAAAAGAAAGAAAGAAAGAAGAAGAAAAACAGTGAATTGAGATTTGTTGAATTTCTTGTTTCTCTTTTCTTTAATTTCCTTCCCTTCCCCTTGAATAAATTTTCGGAATAATTTCCTCCTTGTCTTGGAATTTTAAAACCCCATTTTCGGCCTTTATCCTACCCGAACCTTAGCCCCGTTAACCTGTTTTGAAGTTCTCTTGATTGTTGTATCATTTCCATACTAAGTAGTGGAGATTAGATTTAGTTACAAGCCTATGATAATGAGTCGATTAGTTTAGGCTTGAGCGATTCTTTCACCCGAAACACTTGAGCGAAATGAGTGAACCATGTGAGGAACTAAGCCTTGTATTCTTTGAAATTGATGGATGATTGAAATGTCATTATTAATTTACACTTATTTGATTATGCCTTGCTTGATTAATCTTTAATTTCAACATTTACTTGACTGAGTTTGCTTAGAAACCTTAAAAATTTTGTGAAATTGAGATTGACAACTTAAGATTTTTGGCATGGTAATTGAGAAATGTTTGAGGACGAACATTGAATGAGTGAGAGGGAATTTGATTAGTGTTTAAATTATACATTATTTCATGGTTAATTACTCATTGATTATATAACTTTAGTTTCTAACTTGGACATTTTCATTCATTTTCAATGCATGACATTGAATTCCAAAAATTATGCTAAGAATAGAAAGTGTGCAATTTTTAATTTTTCTGGATTCATGACCGGATTAGTGGGCACGACTTGGGACATTACACACATGACATGGCATCTAGTTAGCAGCTGATGTGGCAGGTGACGTGGCACCCAATCAACCGCTTCTAAAAGGCCTAATCAACAACTTCTAGAAAATCCAGTCAGCAGTGGCATGAAGACCAAAGACTCAACCGAATTTTTGATTTCAAATTAAGATTTATTTTATTTTTATTTTAGGAATTATATTTTTAGTTTTAAATGTTATCTTTTAGGTTGTTTTGAGGACTATAAATACCTCATTGGAGTAAGTCTCTAAGCATCGATTTCTTCATTCAAAATAATTCAACTCTTGTTTCTTTCTTTAAGTTTTTATAAAAGTTTTTTTTTCTTTTTTCTTTTCAAGTTTTTAGTTTACTTTATTAAAGTTCTAAGTATAAATTCAATCATGCTTAGCTAAGTTTTTCATAGCCAAACTAAAGCAATAACTCGATTATAAGTCGTGAGGAAAGAAAAGTGCTTCATACCCTCAAGGGTTACATTTTCAGTTTTCAGAAATCAAGGGTCAATAATCGACCATCCTTTTACAATCAAAGCGAGTTCATTTCAAAAACTGCATGTTGGAATTAAATTTCAGTTTCGATTAATAGTTGGGAGGAAATATCGGCCTGTGGCACATTCAACTTCCTGTGAACACACTTAGCGAACGTCTGATAAGGGAAACTAAAATTGGGTTAGATTCTCAATTGAGACAATAGAATTTGAGTCGAGTTTTTCCAGAATTTAAAAGCGTTGAATTAATAAACGATTGTCGCTATTAACTCACAAAGAGTTGAGATCTGAAAATTGATTTTAGATTCTCGATTCACTTGAGAGAAAAACAAATTATAGGGTTGGGTCCTTAGACTGTAACCGATATGAGTCCGGAGGTAAAATTCTATTCAATGATCGATTAAAATCGAGGCAAAAGCTTTAGCCCAAGGATAATTTTTACCAATTGAATTTTATTTTCTTAATTTACTATATTATTTTATTTCAATTATTTTTATTATTTCACGCCCCTCTAATTTCTTTTACAAATCACGCCTAAATCAAAATTAAAAGCGAGAAAATCGTAAAACTCTTAGTCATGTGGATCGACTCTTACTCTCACTGTTATACTTGTTCTTTTTGTTTTATTGAGATTAATACTATTTATTTTTACATAATAACTAAGGGTGTCATCTCCCTATCCTTGCCCCCGGTTCCCAACTTACCGTACCCAGGGCCGGCTCAGGGCAGGGGCACCCGCCCAGGGCCTATAATTTTAATTTATATTAATTTATTATATTTTAATAAACTAAATTAAAAATATGGCCCATAAATATTAATAAACTAAATTAAAAACATGACCCATAAACTTATTTCTTATTGACTTATTGTTCTCATCATAACGTTAAAAACTGTATTAATATACTAAATTAAAAGCAGGACCCATAAATATTAATAAACTAAATTAAAAGCAGGACCCATAAACTTATTTCTTATTGACTTATTGTTCTCATCATAACGTTAAAAACTAAATTAATCATAATGTTTATAACAATTACTTTTTATTTCTTATAAATGATAGGAGAACATTGAAGTAAAATTAACTTATTTCTTATTGTTCTTAATTTTCAACTTCTCATATTTCTCACAATTTCTTATTGTTCCGGAAACTGTGAAATCTTTATCTAATACTCGATGGGAAAGTCAAATTAAAAGTGTCAAAGCTATTAAATGTCATGCTCCTAAAATAAAGTTAACTTTGTTACAATTATATGAATATTGTGGTAATGATACAAAAGCAAAAAAGTGAAGCAGAAAGTTTAGCTAGTGCCCTTCGAAGTTTTGAATTCTTACTTGGAATGGTTATCTAGTATGATATTTTATTTGTTTTAGACACGGTAAATAAGAAATTACAATCTAAATCAATGTGCATTGATAATACCATAAAGGAGTTGGACGGTGTAATGTCATATTTTGAAAACTATAGAAATAAGGGGTTCGAAGCTAATATAGATATTAGTCTTACATTAGATATGAACATAGAGCCAATTTTTCAGACTAAGCGACGTATTTTTAGAAAAAGACAATTTGATGAGAATGACCATGATAAAGAAATGCAATTAGTAGAGGAGTCTTTTAAAGTTAATTATTTTTTTGTTGCTGTTGGTATGACGGTCGCTTCTTTGAAAGATAGATTTGAGCAGTTAAAGATTTTTTTAAATTATTTTAAATTTTTAATTGATTATATAAGGTTGAAGTCATTGGATGACAATAAATCAAAAGAATGTTGTAATAATTTTAAGATGATTTTTTCTCATAATAATTTGTCGGATGTTGATGCAGATAATTTTTTTCTGAAATGAAAGTGTTGCAATTGATTTTGTCAAATATATTCATGTCAGCGCTTGAAATTCTTGGGTTTGTTAAAACTAGAGATTGTTATCCTAATGTTTCAATTGCTTATCGAATCTTATTAACAATGCCGGTAACTGTAGCATCCACAGAAAGAATTTTTTCAAAGCTGAAATTATTGAAGAGTTACTTGAGGTCAACAATGTCACAAGAAATATTGAATGTGCTAGCTATGTTATATATTGAGAAAAATATGTTGAAAAACATTGATGTCGACACTATTATCAATGATTTTGCATCAAAAAATGCTCGAAGATAATATTTTTTATACGTATTTATATGTTTAAATATATTTTTGATATTGTAATGAATTAATATTTATTTTTATTTAATAAAAAATTAATTAAAATTTTAAATTATATATTTTTTATATTCTTTTAAATTAAGGTCTAATTTTTTAATTTTGCTCCGGTCAAAAAAAGTCAGAACCGGCCTGACCGTACCTCGCCGAATCCTCCATGGACATCACTCATAACCCGCAGCAACCACTGAAACACGCCCTCGATCTCCTAAAACCGCTTCTTTCCTTTTTCCTTCAACCCTCCAAACCCGATTGGATCACCTACGACTACGCTTCTTATTGGCTTCCCTCTGTGGCAGCGCAACTAGGTGTCTCGCGCGCTTTCTTCGCCGTCTTCACAGCTGCATGCTTATCCTTCATAGGCTCACCGTCCACGTTGATCGGTGGCGGTGGAGATGATGCAAGGTCAACGGCTGAGGACTTCACGAAAGTCCCCAGCTGGGTTCCTTTCGAATCCAACCTGGCTTATCGTTTGCATGAAATAACTTTGGACCAACCGACTCGGTCCGCTTCGGCGTTACGATTCAAGAGAGCGACTTTGTTGTCGTTAGAAGCTCTCCCGAGTTCGAACCGGAGTGGTTCGATCTTTTAGGGCGGCTGTATGAAAAAACGGAGATATCGGTTGGGTTTTTACCGCCGATACCGGAAGAATTAGATAACATCCAGGGCGACGAAAACTGGGTTTGTGCTAGAAAGTGGTTAGATGAACAGAGAGTCAACTCAGTTGTTTACTTAGTGATGGGGACCGAAGTTCATTTAAGTAAAGAAGAACTCAGTGAGTTGGCTAACGGGATGGAGAAATCAGGTTTACCTTTCTTTTGGGTACTGAAGAACTTACCTGGAACCAGCGAGTCAGAGTTGGAGATGCTGCCGGATGGATTCGAGGAGCTAGTCAAGGGACGTGGGTTCTTTACATGGGCTGGGCGCCACAAGTGAAGATATTGAGTCACGAGTCGATTGGGGGATTCTTGACCCATTGGAATCGGTTATAGAGGCTTTGGGGCTGGGGCTAGTTCTGATAATGCTCCCAATGTAGAATGACCAAGGACTAAATTCCAGGCTGTTGCATAACAAAGGTGTGGGTTTAGAGATACCGAGAAACCAATCAGATGGATGGTTCACAAGCGAGACGGTGGCCGAGTCGATTCGGGTGGCGCTGGTGGAAGAGTCCGGCAAGGGGTTGAGACAAATGGCAAAAGCAATGAAGGACCGTTTTGGAGATCAGGGGAGGAATGGTGGTTGGGTGGACAAATTTGTAACTCAATTGGAGGATTATAGACATAAGGAATGAATGGTGGTAGTAATACCAGAATGTAAGCCATTTGTTTTTACAGTAAATATAAAGAACAAAAAACCTTTACATGAAATCTGCATTATCTTGCCTCAATTACTGTGATTGAGAAATCATTAGAACAAGTATGTTTTTGAGCATCTGATGATGAAGAAGCGTCTTGAATCAGATCTCTCTCATTGAAAAATCCAGGTTGTTTAGGCTGATGCAATGGAACTTCACTACTTAACATAAGTACAACATTCGACATAGTTGGCCTATCTTCGAGACTGCGTTGCACGCATAGTAGGCCGACCTGAATAGATCGTAATACTTCCGGGGGATTGCAGGTGTTTTTGATCGTATCAGCAACCAGTTCCATTGAATTCCCATTGCAGAATAGCGTCCATGCCTATACAAATAAAGTTCTCAACATTTATAGAACTAACATCTTTGATTCAAGAGTTTTATAGTTACACTTACATGTCCGAGAAGGTTATGGTGATGGTCTGGATGAATGAATCCTCTATTTCTTTTCCCACTCAATATTTCTAAAACCAGAACTCCAAAGCTGAAAACATCGGATTTGATCGAGTAAAGTCCGTCGATTGCATACTCCGGAGACATGTAACCACTGAGAAAAACGCAGACGAAATCTGAGAAAACAAGCTTGGAGGTTCATGAGTTTAAACTATGGTATTTCAGTTTGGATTTCATTTCTTACTATGTTCCCACCACTTTCTTTGTGTTTGCCGTCGTTTCCTTTTCTCCAAAACTTCTAGCCAAGCCAAAGTCTGAAATTTTCGGATTCATTTCATAGTCTAATAGCACATTACCAGCTTTCAGATCTCTATGTATTATTCTTTGTCTAGAATCTTGATGGAGATAAAGGAGCCCACGAGCAACCCCGTTGATAATTTGGAAGCGTGTCGACCAATCTAGTGACATGCTATGAGTATGATCTTAACAAAAGCCATTTTTATTGCAGGTTAGATCTTCGAATATAGTTTAATCAGGAGATTGAGGCAAAGATATAAGCAAAATGAACTTCTCGGAGCCGATAAAAGGCGTACCGAAGATAAAGAAGTTGAGGCTTCTGTTTGGTAAGTATTCATAGATCAACAACTTTTCATCTGCTTGAATGCAGCATCCAAGGAGCCTCACTAAATTCCTGTGCTGAACTTTTGCAATGTGTTTAACTTCATTTGTGAACTCATTGATTCCCTGTTTAGAACTAGTCGAAAGCCGCTTCACTGCAATTTCTTGTCCATCTTTCAGAACACCCTAAAAGAAAGCATATAATCATTAATCGAAGGCTGTTTCATCATTGCTGAATATGAAAGAATATAGAACATGGAAACGTTTGTATAGTAATTTTTCTGGCGTTTTATCATATAGTTACCTTGTAGACACATCCGAAACCTCCTTCCCCAATTTTATTCTTGATTGAGAAGTTATCGGTTGCAGAAACAATATCTCGTAAATCAAATAATGGTAACTCTAGGTCTTTGCTACTTTGATAATCAGAAAAGTTATCTGATTTGAGTGACAGCAATCCTGTGAAATGGAAAAGTCGAGTGAATATCATGTATTAACACCATTAGCATTGGAGAAACGAATTCGAAAACGAAACGGGTGCTTTACCCTTGAGGTTCTTCTTCCTTCGGAGAAACAAGACTATGGTTAGGACTGCAATCAACACTCCTGCAGACAGTGCAGACGACGTTGCTATGATCCTTGTTCTGTTTTTTGCTTTCGTGGCATGTCTTGTGCTCTCGTTTTGAGCTGTATCAAAAACAAATAGCAGAAAATCAATGAAACAAGAATAAGGAACTCCGATATTTTACCTTCTAACACAAGCAATCGTTTAAATCTGTATGGAATAGAAAGATTCTACATATGGTTCAAAATATGTGTAAAAGACTTCCAAGTTTCGGGGATTGAGGATATTTCATACCTATTTCTGATGCGGAAACCTTTATGTATATATCTTGACCACTGTCGCTTATATATCTCATATCGATAAGGTCGGTAAACCACAGCAAGCACCCGCTTCCTCCCTTTGTAATGTCCAAATTAGCATAACCTGTGCACGAACAATTTGAAGAACACAGGTTCTTGCACTCGTGTAAGTTCATACTGTAATTATACCATGAATGTTTGGTTTCCGGCACTTTTACATTGGGGACCCTTATATATCCGACACTGGAGCAGTTTAGTTGAATGTTTCTCCCACAACCACCTGACCCTGGAACCGAATTCCATTCATCGGGATTGTTTGGTGAAAAGCCTGATAAGCAACTACAAACAGGGGACCTGTTGTTGTCGCATATGCCATTTGCACCACACAATGCATACCGGTCGCAGTTATCGATGTAAAGTGGAAGATTTTGGATCCAACCTCGATTCGGATCGTTCCACATGAAGGGAACTATGGATCCATTCTCACTACTTAGCACTCCCCTTAAAAGAGTTGAACTGTTGCGTGGATTGAAAGTTAGGTATAGATCTTGCTCATTGAAAACGAAATCAAAGGTATAAATAGGGTTTTCCTTCATTTCAAGCATCCCACTTAACCGAAGGCCGTTGTAAGGTCCGGAACGGAATCTTATGGTGGAACTGTCTCTTACTATAACCTCTGGGAAACCGGATAGCTCGAACCGGTATGTGAACATACCCGGCGAAGGATCGTCAGAACTTGTCCACGATATCAAGTACCGGTCCAGGCCAGTTCTGAAGTCCTTTCCAATCTTCATGCCTGCAATGAATGTATCACATGGATAATCAAAACTCTGCCAAATGAAGTTCCCCGAATCAGTGTCACCCGTTCCATCGGTAACCACGAGATTTCCCGAGTCCAAGAGCTGTACAACTGGACGGCCGACGGGCCTCAAAGGTAAATTCGAAGCATTGGAAGACCAAACACTGTGGCCATTACCACCTACAAGGATAAGGATTCCGTGGTTGGTAACATGTAAAACACCAGAGGTGTCATTGAGAGGCGTTTCCTGATTAGCCACCCACGGAACCGTCGTGTTGGAATTCGTATACCATATCCCCAAGTACCTTTTGGTGCTGGAACCAGGGCTAAAGAATCCGAGTTTGAAGATTCCACCTGCAGAAACCATGGTATCACCATCTCTAATCGAACCGGTAGCATTTAAGCTTTCCAACGTAATCGAAACTGTAGCATGAGGCCACCACATGAGTGTGCAAAAGAGAAGCAAGATAACGCCTGCCATTGATGAGATTTAGAGAACTTTGAAGACTTTAGAGTATCAAATTCCTTATAATTACACATTCCCGTAAGAAAACACCATAGTCCATAATGTCAAGATGGTAACCTCTGCTCTAAGAAAACTCCATAATCTAAGGGTAAAGTATACCAGAGGTCACTGAACTATACTCAAATGATTGGTATGGTCATTAAACTTCTAAAGGTTACAAAAATGGTCATTGCATTTTTTAAATTGTTACAAAATGGTCACTGTAATATTATAATATTTGTTAGAATTTAATAAATTTAATGATTATTTTGAAACGAGTTGATAAAATTTAATTTTTATTTTATAATCGTTTGATAATATTTAGTGACTACTTTATAACTTTTGAATACACGATAGCCAAAATAACCATTTGAATTTAATTCAGTAACTTTTTATATACACTTAAACCTAATCTAAAATAATAATGCAGCGTCGGCAATTTTGTTTTATTCGTGAATCTCATCTACAACGTTTCCTTTGAACGCAGCCTCTAATAATTGTAGTTTTTCTACAAACATGTCGATGCAACTGATAGCATTGACTAAAACAAACAAACAAACAAATATTTGACAGAACCAGGGAATTAGTCAATGTTACTTCAAAGTTATTATATCATTAACATTTTAAATGTAAAATAATATAATATATTTAAATATTATATTAAATTTTATCATAACTATAGTATAAATGAAATAAAATATTTTACATAAGAATATATTTATCAATGAATGACAACTATGCAATTATAAGTAATATATATATATTTAAATTTAGGTATAATTCAACAAAATAACTCTAATGTTTAACAGTAATGTTAAATTTATCCGTATGTTTTTGACATATTTGACCACTCAACGTTTCATTTTGGGTAAAAAATACCCTCGGTGGATGGAAACCGTTAGTCAACTGGCGGTCAACGCTTGATATTGACCAAGCACGTACACATAGACAGAGATACTGGCGTGGCTTGTCCAGCTCATGGTACATGATGACGTGGATAGAGACGCATGCGATTTATATATTCACGTTGCGAAATTGGAAACTAGGTTGCGAAATTGGAATTTGCGTTGCGAATTTGTTGGTCATTTTGACAAATCCAAAAAAAAATGGTTAAATTCGTATATTATAAGGCATTTTTTGTCACTGAGGTTATTTTCTCAAAACTCAATGCCTAACCACCAAATCAACTCACTTAAAATTTATTATTATACTAATAACAATATTTAAAGTATATTGTAAGAATCAAAACCACAACACAAGCATTTTATAAAATTTTATTTTAAATTTTTTTTATTAAATTTTTAATCTCTAATTAAATTCATATTTTTAATTTTTAATTAATTTTAAATTTATAAACTTTAAATATAAAATAAAATGATTTAATTTTTTATTTTAATTTATTTTTTTTATTAAATTACATACCCTAGTAATTGCATCAAAGCCAATCTGACATTAAGTTCCCTCCGTGACTTGCTGCCAGGTGTAATTTTGATTTTAGTCCTTCTACTATGTTAACATTAGATATTTAACCATTATATTGTAATGTGATTCGATTTGATCATTTACATTTATGGTATTATTAGTAAATCTAAATTGGTGGTACCGTTAATTGATGTCATTAAAATCATGATATATATTTATTTTTTACTATTATTAAATCATACGGATTACACCACATGAAAATCTAGTTAATTATATTCAATTAATAAAAAATTAAATGCCAATTAAATGTATAATATTTTTCTTAATTTATATCATCGCTTTACCAGTGGCATTAACAATGGAAGTTAATAAATATCAGAGAGTATGTAATTTAAAAAAATTAAATAAAAAATTAAATCATTTTATTTTATATTTAAAGTTTATAAATTTAAAATTAATTAAAATTTAATATATAAATTTAATTAGAAAGTATGTAATTTAGATTTAATAAAAATAAATTTAAAATAAAAGTTTATAAAGTGTTTGTGTTGTGATTTCGATGGCTACGATATACTTTAAATATAGTTAGTAGTATAATAATAACATCCAAGTGTATTGGTTTGGTGATTAGGCATTGAGCCTTTCATCCATTAAACCCAAGTTCAAATCTCATGAGATGTATCTTTTGGAGGTTTAATCCCTCCTTTCCTAATTTAATAAAAAAATCTCATGTGTCTCGTGGTATATTTGATTAAATTATTAATTAATTTTAAAAAATATTTGTTGATGTGGTATCACACGTTGACATGTCATGTCATCATGTATCATGACTTGGACAAGCTACGTCAACATCTTTGTCCATGTGTATGTGCTTGGTAATCATCAAGCGTTGATCGTCAGTTGACTAACGATTTTCATACACTTAGGGTGTTTTTTGATCCAAAATAAAACGTTGAGTGGTCGAATGTATCAAAAAATCAATACGGATAAATTTGACACTACTGTTAGATGTTAGGGTTATTTTGTTACCTTATGCCTTAAATTTATTAATTGCATGTTTGATGTTCATTTAACTTGAGGTGCCATCGACTAATAATTCATATTTCTACAACAATAAATGTGTGAATATATATATATATAATTGTAAATTGAAAGGTACATTTAGGGATGACAATAGATTCTAGACCCGATCTGAATTCGTAGATTTAGATTCATTATATAGGGTCTGGATCTTAAAATTTTAGACCCGACGGATCCGAACCTAATTTGGATCCTCTGATTAAAGTACGGATTCATGTTCAAATCTAACACTAAGATACCGGATCTGAACCCGTTTACCCATTTATAGAAAAACACACCTTTAGTTTTAAATTAATATGTAAATTTCACAAATATTGATATTTCATAACCTTAATATTAATAGTTAAATTTCGTAAATATTATTTTTATTAAACAAAATTCTCTTTTAGTTGTTTGTTTGTTTTAGGATGTTGATGATTTAAGTAATGATGAAGACTAAGGTGGTGTTTGTTTTTGCAGAGGTAAAAGGTATGCAGTCTGCGGACCACATCTGCAGGCATTTGCAGCAGAAGTGGTGGACCAAAAGTCTGTAGTCTGCAAGAAGAAGACTGTTTGTTTTTTAACATCTACATACTGCTAAAATGAACTGAAATATAAATAAACTGATTTTTTTAAACTTAAAAGAGTTTTGCAATACTGAGATTTAAATAATTTTAGTTTTATAATACTGAAATTTAAATAATCCATACAACTACAATAATAAATTATTTAAAATAAATCAATCCATATTTTAAAATAAATCAATCCATAATAATAAATTATTTAAAATAAATCAATCCATACAACTACAATAATAAATCAATTCATATTTTAAAATAAATCAATCCATACAAATAAATTATTTAAAATAAATCAATCCATACTAATTAAAATAAATCAATCCATACTAATTAAAATAAATCAATCCATATTTTAAAATAAATCAATACATACTAATAAATTATTTAAAATAAATCAATCCATATTTTAAAATAAATGAATCCATACTAATAAATTATTTAAAATAAATCAATTCATACAACTACAATAATAAATCAAACCATATTTTAAAATAAATCAATCCATACTAATAAATTATTTAAAATAAATCAATCCATATTTTAAAATAAATCAATCCATACTAATAAATTATTTAAAATAAATTATTTTAAAATAAATCAATCCATATTTTATAATAAATTATTTTAAAATAAATTATTTTATAATAAATTATTTTAAAATAAATAACCTTATTAAATTATTTAAAATTATTTTAATAAATAACTATATTTTATAATTGTTCTTGAAGAGGTTTGAAGACCTTTGAAGACATAAAACCATGTCTGCACCAAGAAGAGCTCGCGCAGACGTTTGAAAAGCTTATGTCTTCTAAAAAACAAACAGTTTACGAAGCTTAATGTCTGTGTGTGGTCTGCGCGACGCAGACATAAGTGGTTTGAAGAGCTTGCAAAGTGAAAACAAACACCACCTAACACTCTAAGGAGGTAGAAGTGTGGTACTTAGCTTGAGACAATAAAATGTTTCATGATCTATATTTTTTAATGTTTGTGTTATTCAAAAGACATTTTGTGTAATTGTGTTGGAGTTTTTTTGAGACTTTAGTTTATTATTTTTTATTCTGTTACTAGTTATATTAAAATTAATATTTTCTCCATTGGAAATGTGATGTGAAATTAGTTAATGATAGTTTTATTACGTTAAAAAAATAGGTCAAATGGTCATTTTTTTAACAGACTTGTTTTAGACTCGGATCCTTGAGATCCGTTGGATCTGGATTTGAGTTCCAATTTTCAAGACCTGTAAATCCAAGGTGGATCTAAATCCAAGATGTGAAAATGGGTCTGGATCTGAGTCTAAATAGATCCGGTCCAGATCTGACCTGTTGCCATCCCTATATACAGTTGACAAAACAAGAATTAATTACATATAAGGATTATTATTTAATACATATATTGCATATAAATTATTTATTCTAAATATAAATTTTAAAATTAATTTTAGATTGTTAAAATATAAATTCTAAATTCTAAATTTAAATATTTTGAAGTTTAAGAAGAAATTAAGAGGTCATTTTTAATAAAACTTTTAAGTGCATTCAATTAGGTCGCCTTAGGTCGCCTAATTATTTAAATGCATTCAATCAAGTCACTCGTCGTTAATATTTAATAAAAATGTTAATGTGGAAGTTAATAAATTTAACCCTTGTTACTTACACATTCTATCAAATTAATCATAATTTTAAATTCATTTAATATATTTAATTATATAATTATATGACGACATGTGTCAATAATGACTAGTATTATAACTCGATCTAATTTTTTGAGATAAAATTTGAACTCGATCCGACTCGATCCGACCCAAAATAATAATAAAATATTATTTTTATTCAATAAAAATAGTGATTTAATTGAAAAAAATTAATATATAGAGGGGTATTATTATAATTATTCTTAAATATATAAAGTAAAATTATATTTTTTCGGATCGGATATTTTTCACCATAAACTTGAATCCGACCCGACCCGAACATTACCTTAAAAAAAACTTGACTCGACCCGACCTGACCCAAATCCAAAATTTTAAAAAAAAACCCAACTCGATAAAGTTAGGTCAGATCGAAACCCGTCGAGTTCGGGTCACAAGCCCACCCTACCAAGGAGATAAGCATGCCCATCTACCACTATGCCAACAAACAATTTTTGTCAAAAGTTTCACAACATTTCTTATTTAACTTATAAGGAATGCCAAAAAACCGAAAACAAAAGTGACAATAGAACAACTCAAACCTTTAGCCTATTACGAAACAAAAAAAATTATACTCTTAATTCAAAATAAATATTATTAATTAATTAAAATAAAAAATTTAATTTAGAATATAAAAATATAAATTTAATTTTTATGTTAAATCTTATTTTAACTACATTTTTAAATATATAACATGTATTTAATTATCAACAAATAATTACATCTGTTTTGGTTGGTTATAGGATAGTAAACGAGCCGATCCGAACTCGAATATTGCTAATCTTGACTCGACTCGAAAACTCTAAAATAAAGCTCGACTCGAAAGCTTGCGAACCTAGAATTTTCTAGCTCGATTCGAACTCGAAACCATAAACTGAAGCTCATAAAAGCTCGAAAAAATTCAAAATGAACAAAAAATAAACTTAAACTTAACTCGATTAGAGCTCATAATTCAAACTCAAACCTGGACCTTAAGTACATGAAAACCTTATGCTGTATTTTTAAAAAACCAACTCAAATGTTAATAATATTAATAATTTTATTTTAAAAAATATATAATTTAATATATTATATTTTCGAGTTGCTTGCGAGCTTTTCGAGTCGAGTATCAAGTAGCTCGTTTCGGCTCATTAAAAACTCAAGTCGAGCTCGAGTGGAGTCCATTCGAGTTGAGTATTTATCGAGCTTTGATCAAGTCGATCTCGAATAACTCACGATCCGTCTCGTCTCATTTATCTCCCTAGTTGGTTAAGTTTTCTTTAGATATTTTGTAACAGGCCAAAGTTTGAGTAGTTAAACACTAGTTTATACAAGATTAAAAGAAAAAAAATTTAAGATTTACACGTGATTAAAATCGACTTCTAATTACACATTTTAACTATGCAATCTAATAAAAAATTAATTAAAATATAATTCTTTTAATCTTGTACAAACTAGTGTTTAATGACTTAAACTTTGGCCTATTAGGAAATATAAAAAATACATAAACAACCATATTACCTGTCTTCTTCGAAAGCTCAACTCATCTGCATTAACCTTTTTCTATATATTCCATTCCAACATCCCCAGTCACCCCATTCCACAAAAACATCAATTCCCAAAGTTCTATTTCTTCGTTCTCGTTCCCTTTGTTATCACGTCAACCATGTCTGCAATTCCTCCATCGGGCTCACAAAACTCTTCGGGTTTCCATGATTTCTTGCCCGTGATGGCCAACAAGCTCGGAGGGGATGGTCTGATAGGGGAGCTCTGCAATGGGTTCAGCCTGTTGATGGACAGTGAGAAAGGGGTCATCACTTTTGATAGCTTGAATTCGGCGCTTTTGGGGTTACGGGGCTTGACGGATGATGATTTGAGGTCTATGATGAAAGAAGGTGACTTCGATGGCGACGGTGCGCTCAACCAGATGGAGTTTTGTGTGTTGATGTTCAGGTTGAGCCCTGAGTTGATGGAAGCGTCTCGGTTTTTGTTAAAGGAGGCTTTCGAACATGAATTCAAGGATTTTCATTGATACCTTTTGGTACTTCTTAGTTTCTTGTTTCATCCTATATTTGTCTTTCTAATTAAATTGTTGAATATACAGAAAGAATAGTAAAAAAATGAAATTTTTTTATCAAAATTTTACATTTGTGTGGTGAATTTTTCTTAATGAAGTTTGTCTTTCGAGCATTAAATTTTTATATGCAATTCAAATATAAAAATGAATGTGGTGGAAATTAGGGGAAATTCAATAGTAGCAGTTAAACAAGACCTAATCTTGTTTGACCCTTGAGACAAATGTGTTAGCAATATCTCGTAAATGCAGAAGGGTTGACTTTTTGGCAACCGTCTTCAGTTTATTAGTGATCTCCATCATTATCAGTGAAGACATGTAGAGTTTATCGACCAATAATCATCGACTTTCGAATGCCGGGGGTCTTTTATTCAATCCAAAAGTCTGACTTTTGCAGTTATAGTTTATGCATGAATTTATACTTGTATATTAATCCAAAGAAAAAACAGCAAAGCTGTTACAAAAAGACAGAATCAAGATGACCCATCAATGGGTCCCCCCACCTACTACACAAATCGACATTCACCCCATCTAACCTGTCAATACAACAAAAGTACAAACGAATTCTAACAGCTTCCTTAATACAACCGACAACTTCCTCAACAGACCGAGAAACCCCTCTAAAAAGCTTAAAATTACGTTATTCCCACATAATTAGTTCTTAAATTATACATTATTTTGTGATTAATTACTCCTTGATTAGCTATTTTAAGTTGCTAACTTGAACATTTTCATTCATTTTCAATGCAGGGCAATAGATTTTAAAAAACGTTGTTAAAACTGATGAAATTTTGCAATTTTTTATTTTCTAGAATCATGACTAGATTAGTGGGCATGACTTCGCTAATGTGGCATCTAGTCAGTAATTTTATTTTTATTTTTATTTTAGGAATTATCTTTTAATTTAAAATGTATCTTTTAGGGTTTTTGAGATTATAAATGCCGATGGGTAAGTCTCATCGTTGAGATCATTCACTCTTGAATTCTCTTGTTTCTTTCTTTAGTTTTTTAAAGTTTTACTTTTTCTTTTATTTTTCTTTAAAAGTTTTCTTTTTAAAAATGTTTATGATTTCTATCATACTTAGCTAAGTTTCCATAGTCAAAGGCTAAAGCGATGACTCGATTATGAATCGTGAGAATCGAAAAGCACCTCATAACCTCTCGGGTTAAATTCTCAATTTTCTAGAAACTAGATTGACGGATAGTCTTTCTTAAAATCAAAACGCATTCACTTCAAAAATAGATTTTGACTTGGACTACGTTATGGTTTACCGTTGGAATTATAGAATCAATTGATTCGAATTTACTTGAACACATTTAGCGAACGGCATGCTAAAGGAAATTGGGATCGAGTTCGACTATCATAATTAGAATATGTTGGACATGGATAGTTAAAAAAGACGAAGAGTCTAAATTTGTTCAGGACCCTTTTGCCTTTTTCCTTAAATTCCTTACAATTGTAGCCTTCAAAAGCTTCTTGTTGATTTGTTAATGTATGATCAGGAAAATGACGTTAAAAAAATGAAATACTTGTCTTATAGTTATCATGGAAACTAAGATTACTGAAATTAATAGATATGAGATACCGGCCAGGATCAAAGTGATTGTTAATGTATGGTCAGGAACGGAGTCAAGATACCAACTTTAACATAATTCATCATTTATGGGTCTAATGATAAAATATTTATTGTTAAGTAATTGAACTTATGCATCAAGAAAAAAAAGTCGGTCAAAGCTTTTGAGTCCCAAAGATTTCCTTTTACAACGTTTGGTTGAAACTAAAGAACCCTTGAACTAGAAAAGGATAATGCAACATGATCAAATCTTAATCGACCCTTGAGACAATGTGTGTCCGCAATTTCCTGGAAATTGAGAAGACATGTCTTGTAACTTAAGTTATAGCCTATAAATTATGTTTTTGATCCTATCAGCAGACGTTTAGTGGAATATCTGATGAAAGATTTGACTTTCTGGAGACGTGTAGGAGTAGAAATGCATGTTATTTAATTTCACTCTGAATGGCCCTTGGTCAAACTCACAGTTTTATATTCTTGTAGTCTAAATTGAAATTGTTTTAGATTTCTTTTTAAATTTCCTACCCTTGTAGCAATATTGGGTTAGAATTTAGGGTTCAATTATTGAAAACTTAATTCCAGTTCCTGCAGGAGAGAAAGGGATGATTGTTAACAGTCTGAACCTTAAGAAAATAAAAAATGGACATCTTCAAAGTCATTTGAGTATAAAATACTTGTAGCCTCTGACATTATTGATAAAGACTTGCGGCATTTTATTAATCAAATTCCATGTGTAGGTCATTTATTCAAGACTAAAGACTTGCATTTAGAATGTTCAATCAAATGGAATGTGTGCTTAATTCTGCAAGCAATTAGCTACCAAACTAGACGTCCATGGAAACGGGTTTCTACTTTCACAGTGTTTGTTGTTTCCTCATCTTCTTCTCAAAAGCTTCAACTGCAACGGACACCATTTCTCCATCGGAGTCACTCACTGATGGCATGACCTTAGTCTCCAATGGTGGCAGCTTTGCTTTGGGTTTCTTCTCTCCTGACAGTTCTACGAATCGCTACCTGGGAATCTGGTACAACAACATCCCCATGCAAACTGTTGTTTGGGTTGCAAACAGGGTAAACCCAGTAAACGATTCCACTGGTGTGTTGAAGATAGAAAGTAGCGGCAGAATTGTGCTCCAAGTTCAGAACATAACAGCTGTTTGGTCGACTAATAGGACAGCAAGTGTTGAGAATCCAGTATTGCAGCTCCTGGATTCTGGTAATCTTGTTGTCAGAGATGGAAACGATGGTAATCCAGAGAAATACCTATGGCAAAGCTTTGATTATCCATCGGATACAATGTTACCAGGGATGAAAATCGGTGTTGATTTAACAACCGGTTTCGATCGAAGACTCTCGACCTGGAAGAACTGGGATGATCCATCTCCAGGCGATCTTACTTATGGTGTAGAACTTGAAGGAAGCCCACAAATGGTGCTAAGGAAAGGCTTACAAAAGTATTCTCTGAGTGGGTTATGGATTGGCAACGGATTTAGTGGGGCACCCAATGTAAGGTTGAATCCGATCTTTTATTATGACTTTGTGTGGAACGAAAATGAGGTTTACTACACATTTTTACTCAAAAACAAATCAGTGATGTCGAGGATTGGTCTGAACCAAATTGAAACTGCAAGGGAAAGGTACACATGGAACCCAGATACTCAAACCTGGCTGCAGTTTGTGACCTTCCCAAGTGACTATTGTGACAATTATGGACGCTGTGGTCCAAATGGGAACTGTGATAGAAATAAACTGCCGGCTTGTCAATGTTTGACAGGGTTCAGTCCGAGATGGCCCGAAAGATGGAACTCATCGGATTATTCCGGAGGGTGTATACACATGAAGCCATTGAACTGCCAGAAAGGAGATGGGTTTATCAGAATTCGCAACGTGAAAACCCCGACACCACAAATTCTTGGGTTAATAAAACTATGAACCTAAAGGAATGCAGGGAAAAGTGCTTGAGGAATTGTTCTTGCATGGCCTATACTAATTTAGATATTTCAACGGGTAATGGCTGCGCCATGTGGTTTGGTGATCTGATTGATATCAAACAATTGCAATCAGAGGGTCTGAATCTTTACATCCGAGTGTCTGCTTCAGAAACAGGTACTGGTTTTCAAGACTAGAACATGTTCTTATTACATCTAGCTGTAATTTTTCGGTTTTTTGTGTGATAAGTAGCTAACATTTGTCCATCTTGACATAATGGCAGATCGGAGGAAAAAAGCTAATGTGATTGCCATCATACTTGCAACTGTAATTGTAGCGTTCTTGGGGATTCTGTTAGTCGTTTGTTACATTTGCAGAAGAATGAGAAAGTTAAAAGGTAACATTAATTATGATCCCCATTAATGTACTCAGTTTCTTCTACAAATACCGAAATCGTTTTTGCTAATCTATGTTACTTGAGGTCGAGTGTGTGAGGGATATGAGTGTTCCTAACACAAGTTTATTTAAGTATTTGGAAGGTAAAAGGAAGCCCCTATTCCATACTCATATGAGAATATGTTACCAAGTGTTTGTGGTATTTTGGTTTTAGCCTTCTAGGAGTTAGCCAAGGAACATGTATAGAAATAATCAGTCGGTACTCGGTATTCACTATAGAAAAAGAGGAAGTGGGAATTCCAACTCCATGTTTTATACTGTTTTCAGATGAAGTTGAAGACAAGAATCTAAATGGTAAAGAGATTAAAGACGAGAATGAAGACATGGAGCTTGCAGTATTTGAGTTTGGGACAATAGCTCAAGCTACTGACAGTTTTTCATTTCGTAACAAGCTAGGTGAAGGAGGTTTTGGCCCTGTTTTTAAGGTGAAAGCTACTGTATTTTAGTTATAGTGACCTATAAGTATATGATTTATTGAAATCTCATTAAAATATTGTAAAACTTTCCAGGGGACACTGGCAAATGGACAAGAAGTTGCGGTGAAGAGACTTTCAAAGAGTTCTGGGCAAGGATTGAACGAGTTCAAGACTGAAGTAAAGTTGATTGCCAAACTTCAGCATCGAAATCTTGTAAGGCTTCTTGGATGCTGCGCTCAAGGAGATGAGAGAATGCTGGTTTACGAATACATGCCTAATAGAAGCCTTGACTCTTTCATTTTTGGTCTGAAAATCATTAGAAAACTTCTCATTGTTTTCACTTCTGGTTCTTCAATGATTAAATAAGATGCCGGACTAACTTGAATGTGTAATTTCTAGATCAATCGAGACGTGAAGTATTAACCTGGTCCATGCGATTCCGAATTATCTGCGGGATTGCTAGGGGACTACTCTACCTTCATCAAGACTCTAGGTTGAGAATTATCCATAGAGATTTAAAAGCTAGTAATGTTCTACTTGACAGTGAGATGAACCCAAAAATTTCGGATTTTGGCTTGGCAAGAACTTTCGGAGGAGACGAAACAGAAGCCAGTACAAATAGAGTTGTTGGAACTTAGTAAGTGGTACTTTTATGCCTTTTCCATACAATTTGATCCCTAAAAC